TTGCAATATTCGCAACATGCTTCGATGTTTGCAGGCAGTTCATGTCGTACTTTTAACTTTTGATTTGTTTCCCGCACACAAAAATATTGCTCGTCTACCGATTAGTTTTTAATTGCGTTCGCCCAGTGACGTCAATAGCTGCCAGGCATTTCAAATATGCCCGTCTGTACATATTTATTATGGCCAAGTACAATGTGTGAAGAAATGATTTTTCAATTTTCTGATTTCTTCTTGATATAGTTTTTGTTTAATGCCATTAATTAAGCAATTTTTGATTTTCTCACACAGCTTAGCTGGGCCATATGCGAACACTTTATCTTCTTCTGCTATTTCCTACTCTTTTTTTTTTGTGAACTATGACCAACAGTGAATTGACTATAGAAAGATTTTACCCAGTCATTGGCAATAACAAAGTGTGGCCTAGGCTGAGTCAATCAACTACTTGGCTCTATTTCTTCAATTGTGGCTTATTAAAGATCTCTCAGTTATATTGCTGTCAGGGCCTTTTGATCTGTCGTGAAGGGTCTTCTGCAGCTTAGTGCTTGCCTCTGACTTGCCCTCAGCGCCGGGCAACAGCAACTTTAACAAGTTCTGTCTGCTGTCAGCGAAAAAGAACAACAAGAATCTGGCAAATCCCACTTGAATGAGACGCCGCGAAGACTTTGAATGCACCACTAGGCGCACAGCTTAACTTTGACCCAGTTGACGCCTTCAGTGCAGCGGCAAAGAGTAAAAGATGACACAGATTTTGTTGACTTCTCGTGCGGCATCGTCGAGAACTTCGACGCTGACTTAGTACATGAATGGCATTTAATTGGACTTTATGTTAGATGCATTCTTCGATGAATTTTCTAAAGTTGTTCAATTGAAATCGTCTGTAAAGTTGTTCCCACGGCGCGAATATAGTTAACACAAATTTAAATTCAATCTATCTCTGTCTCTGTCCCTATCTCTCTCACTCACATATTTAAGTGTGTATGTATGCAAATTTCTTGATTTTTGTTTTTCTCACTTGTATTTATTTACTCTCAGTTAAACAAGAAAAATAAACTAACTGGCCTTATCAGCGGACAACCGCTTTGACAGGAGCTCTGTGGGACAAGCTGTGAGTTTTCTTGAGAAAAATTCAAAAATTATTATGCATTAATAAACAAGGCACGAAGTGGCCACAAACAGCGCAAACTGCACCGAAAACAAATTGTGAAATTTTAGAAGTAGAAAACACAGCAAGCAATACAAACAAACAAACAATTAGCGCGRCTGCGAAAAACAGAAAACAAAAATAATACAAAAACATGAAATGCACTGAGTAGCAAAAGCTAACAGCTAGCAGCGCCCTCTAGTGCACGTTTCGCAAGCAGGTCAACTTGTCATAATGATTTACGTTTCGTACCAACTCGCCACTGCTAACGACGACGTCCGCAGCACCTGCACAATTGCAAACACACCCGCACACACACGCAAAGGCACACCAATGCACACTCTGATGCACCGCAACAGCTATACAAATTAATGTTTTTATTAGCATTGCCAGTGTAGCAACTGCTGTGCACAGTGGAACAACGCGAAGTAAATATCGATTTTGTCGTCTCACATTTTTGCTGAAGTATTGTAATTTTTGCCAAGTAATACTCTGATTGGTATCAACAAGCGAGTCGACAACAAACACTGCTAGGTCTTCCTCTCTGCCGTCAAAGGCAAAATAATCTCTAATCAAACTCTGCATTAGTCTGCACTTCTCTTGCAGAGGGAATGAGTCGAGGGGCAACAGTGCGTGGCCCTGGAAAAACCACAAAGTAATTAAGTTCTTTTCTGGATAATGATTTATTTATTTATATTCAGAAACATTACGTATGGGTAGTAAGCTAAAACTGTTTGAGATCATTATCTATAAAAGAGTAATAGAGTAGAGGAATTAAGCAATCGTAATATTACTACTGCAATCACAATACTAGTAGTAGAATAATATTAAAATGACTTTACTACTCCATCTATTAGTATAACTACTGCTCCTTCTACTACTACTACTAGCAATATTAATACTGCTATTATTATTGAAACTATTACTCCTACTAGTAGAAATATTAATATTGCTACGACCACCCCGACTACCACTAATAATATTATTACTGCTACTACTATTAATAATATTACTACTACAACTCCTTCTACTACTACTATAAATAATACTAATAACTAAATTACTAATATTACTACTAAAGCTCCTACTACTGCTGGGAATATTACTACTGCTATTCCTTCCACTACTACTTAACGTTATTACTACTACTATTCCTTCTACTACTACTTAACGTTAGTACTACTAACACTATAACACTACTGCTACTACCATAAATAATGCTGATAACTAAATTACTAATATTACTACTACAGCTCCTACTACTGCTGGGAATATTACTACTACTATTCCTTCCACTACTACTTAACGTTATTACTACTACTAATCCTTTTACTACTACCACTATTGCTACTACTTCTCCTGCTACTATTTTAATATTATATATGCTACTACAACACTACTACTTCTCCCTTACTACTAGTAATATTACTACTACTACAACAAACTACATAAATTTGATTTCTATAGAAGCTGCATAGAAAAAGCATTCAAATATTGCATAGTTCATAGTTCAAAATGAATAGTTAACTTTATGTAGGTCAATGCAATTTTTGTATGCATTTAGCAGCCAATCACCCACTGTAAGTATCAGCAACAAATTCAATGCACGTCGCCGCTGTCGCTGCCGTCCAATTCTTTTGTCAAGTGCAAACGGGCGTATACGTAATATACTATATTTTTGCGTACTGCGCTTGGCAGCTTGTTTCGTCGTAGTTGTAGGTGTAGTTGTTGTTGTAGTTGTTGGTGTATGCCAACACTTGCACAACCGTGACTGCCATTGCCATTGCTGTGGCCAGCCAACCAGCCAACAAATCAAGCGCGCTTATTTTAACAATATGCCCCACAGTTGGGAACTGAAATATTTCTGTTGGCGCTGACCAATTTGGATGTTATAAAAAATACCTTTTGCCATATAATCAAATAAGCGTATGTGTGTGTGTGCGGGTGCATGTGAGTATATAGCAAGGTGTGTCAGCACCTGCCATTGCGGTTTTTCCTATGACGGGTTCAAAGCCATCAAGCGACATTGCCTTGAAATAATAATAATTGTAATAACTGAATTTGAGCACAGGTAATTGAATGTGAAAGGCTTTTTCCACAGCCGCCCACCCACACACACACACACAACTATCCGAATCATGCGAAAAATAAAGCCAGCTGAATGCCGAGATCACAAACGGCTGTTTGAGAGTCTCTGGCTCTCCTTGGGCCACAAATCACTGGAAAACTAACATCTGTGTCGCTGAGGGCCTTTCACTTGGAGCCGTTGCAGCTCGAGTTTCCCGCACAAGGCGACGATTGGCGGTCTCTAAATGGCCGCCCGTTCACTCGGATTGCTTTGGGTGTGTTTGCAGATCATTTGTGGGTCATATGCATAAGCAGCAAGCACAACAGAAACAAGCTGCACGGTCAGCATTACTGCTGCAAAATGCAGGCCAAACACGGCTAATGGGTGCAATCAACTTGGCACAAACTGGTAATGCAATACTTCTTGCCAGTTCAGGTTCGGCTTAAGGCCCTCGGGGCCAAAGCGGAAATAGGAAGCCGCATTAAGTTGGCAGAACAACAACAATGCAATGCAACGTCATAAAAAAAAAAATAAAATAAAATAAATAAAAATAAAAAATTCAGTTCTTATCAACGCTACTCAGGTGCGAACTACAACACTTTGAGGCAACCAAATTTAGGAGAATTATATTCCATACTAGTTGAGATATATTTATATAGCTGTTGCTGCTGTGCAGTTTGAGAAACATTTTAATTTTATTTTTGTTGCCTCATAAATCATTTTTTTACAGCACAAAGAAATTGAAGTCCGACCCTGACTGAATGAATGACATGAATGAATGAATAACTTTTCAATGGAATAAATTGATCGCTTTATACTCTTTTAATAACCAGTCATTAAAAGTTTTATAGCTATAGTTTAATGTCAAATGATTAACCATATTATAAACTAGTTAAGGCTCTATTATTTGACAGGCCAACTTTCTTTACTATGCTGTTGATAAGAGACTCCGAGTTCTGTTATTTACTGACAAATACTCGTAAATTTCCAACAATAATATTTATAGGGTATTCGATAGCCAAACTCAAAACGACTCTTCTATCAATACACATGTATATGATTGCATTTGTGCATGTATTCGTTTTATTTTTAATACGCGCTGCTCCGCGCACTGCACTTGACTCCAATTACTGATTAGTGTTTACGGATTTATGCTCGCTTAAGCAGAAAACAAATACTACGTACATACATATGTGGGTATACCGCATACGATACCCCGACTCCGAAACTCAGCTGTCTGCCCGACTGCTTGTGCGTGCAATATTTCATTGAAGTATTGCGAGAATATAAAATACAACTTTTTCGTCCACGAAAATTATTCTGCCATTAATGCACTTTGTGCAAAAGTTAAAAATAATGGAAGCTGAATGGCCAAGTGTAAGTGACAGACTGCAGGACAATTGCCGTAACTCGTCTGTATAATGGGTCAAAGTCTATGTGGGCTACTGAGTGCCATTGTGGCTGCTGCCGGATAACAATGGGTGAAAGCCAAACCACACGAGATGCGAGCTGAGAGATGCAAGATGCTCGCTCACTGCCAGGCCAGAGAGCAGCGTGTCACCTGCCAGGTGCAATTGGAACTGATATACAAATGTTTTCCACAAGGCATTGAGCGACTTCATTTGTATTGCCAAATGGCCATGTGGTCTGTCAGTCAGTTCGATTGATGGGCGCGTGCTAACGCGATCGTTTGAGTAGCGCATCTGGAGCTTTCACAACACAGCGAGCGAACACAGCAACTCATCAATGTCAATAATAATTATGCGGCACTTGTTGCATGCTGAGACTTACCGTTACGTGAAACATCGAGCTCCACCAGATTTTCAAAGTTTTGTATGTCCGGCGGCAGGCGTCCGATTTCATTGTCACTCAGGCCCAGTTTTCTCAGGCGATTCAATCGGAAGAAATTCTGCAAGAGAGAGAGAGAAAGAAGGAGAATGAGAAACAAAATAAATAGCTGGTTAAGACAACGGCACGACACAATGCAGCTAAAGCCTTTCTCTAGTCTCTTGGCAAACAAAGGCCGCAATCGTTAGGACGTGTTTCTGTTCATCTTCGAGTTCGTTTTCGTGGTCATAAATTTCAAAGAGTTTGTCATTTGTAAACGCCGTGACCCATCCGGCGGGTCCAGCATCCCGAGCTGCTAGAAGTTGCCTATGCTGTTGCTTTCTTTTCGTTCGACATGTCGCCAACAATTCATTTATGAAAATCACGATTTTCCGGGCTCCCCATCAATTTTGACGTTCGATTTACAATAAATTATTTTGGCGCTCCTCGTACTTTCCCAAAGTGAAGGGTCGCGACCGATCACAGCCATAAACATTCGGCTGACCTTCTAGCGATGTGGAGCACACACACACACACCCATCCACACACAGCACAGTCATCTCTCAGCACTTGGAAAAGAAAGCAGCGCCCCCAAGTGGCTGGCTGAGTCAGTGAGTCATAGACCTCAAGGTTAACAGCCGCACCGGGCGGCGTTGCTGCTTTCATTGTGCCAGCGATTTTAATCGGCCATTGTTGGGTCACTCCTCTTACTTCTGCCCCCAAAAAGAACCTACCACACCACAGACAGCAGCAGCAGTCGCATTCGCGAGTCGCGACAATAACAATAATGAAAATAATTCATAGTTGTACTCGTAAAATTTATTAACTTTTTCGCTCGTCTCAAAATACTTCTGGCACTGACAAGTACTGTATGAGTGTGTCGCTGTTGGGGCCGTGACTCGATAAAGTTGATGACCCAGTTCAACGTGCCAGAAAGGTGTAAAAAACAAGCCCTCACTAACTGTCAACTTGCGCGAAAGCTGAACAGTTGTACTCACGCCTCAGAATAAGAATAATAAATGTGAAGCGAGTGGAGTGTCACTTTGTTCTAGGTGAGGTTTTAGCAACAAAGCAAATGATTTATATGCTAACATCAATGGATATAATTTTCTATGAAATTTGTGCAAATAATTACACTAAAAAATTGAAAATAATTTATTCAGTATTTAGTATTTCCTATGCTATTAAGTCAATTCTATTTTCTATTTTGTTAAATCAGAATTTAAATAAAATAAACTGCTTGAATTGAATTGTATTCATGCGCAAATATATTTACATCAAAACATTTTGAACAAAGCATAAATATTTATCACTTGAAACAAAATTTTAATTTTTAATATGATATTTAATAAATATGTATGAATGAATAAATGCTTAGGCTTTATTATCAAAAATACAAATAAAATATATGTATCTAATATAGTGAAAAAAGAGCAATATGCAATTGCAGCTGAAAATATATAATAAATAATAAATTAATATTCTAATGAATAGGCAAATCCGTTGCTATCTAA